TATGAATAAATAAATAAATCTTTAAAAAAAAAAAAAAGATAATGCAGAAACCCAGGTGAAAGGTAAAGGGTAAAGGGTATTTGGAGATGGAAAGAAGCAAAGCCACATTTTAAAGGAATCAGAAAGATTGGGTAATCATCATGGGACATAGAGTGAAGGGACTTGATGAGGTTGTTTTGGGAGAACATCAGGTTGAAGATGATGACAAGGCATTTTACGACAATTACCAGTCAAACTCTTGGACATTCTAATCTGGTATATAGAGAAACTGGTTGGAAATAAGGTTGTGGTAGGCCTGCGAATAGAGAACTATCAGCAGTGATGGACATTTAAATGAACTTTTATATAGTTCACACGCCACTCGGGGATGTCTTACCTCACTTGGTATTCTGTTTCTCTTCACAGCAAAGCAAGTCTTCTGATGACATTCCAAAGATGTGCAAACCAAGTTATTCTATGTAAATTTGCTTTAGATTTCAACACCAGGGAGCAAAGGAACCAAAGCTTGAAACCAGATGATCTCATACCAAATTCTAAGATTTTTAGTGTGTGATTTTAAATGACATTTCAATGACTATCCAGTGCAAATACAAGTTGTAGAAGATTACTCAGGTTGGAGGATAAATAATGACCACAACATGAGACATGCATAATTTAGGACCTAGGGAATAAAGTGCCCAATAAGTGAAAAGGACACAGAGCATTTGGTAAGAGAGAAAATATCAGAAAAGTGTTTGACCATAGAAACGAGACAGTAGCAGGGGGAATGGAGAGCTTCCAGAATGAGGGAATGGTTAGCACTCACAGATACTTCCTAGAGGATCATGATGCTCAGTGTGGTGACCAGGTCACTTTCTTTCTTCACATTTACCTTTTGCTCATCATTCATTCTTATTTCACGTATTTTCTCTTTAGCTTCTGAACTAGATTATAGATTCCTTGAGGGCAAGGTCTGTGTCTTATTTTCCTTATAGTCTCTGTCCTACCCAGCACAAAGCTGTATACGCAGACTGATATGAAATGTGAAAGCTTTCTGTGTGTGGATGATTAATCATCACTACAATTTTTCCAAAGGCACAATCTCTAGTGCCAAAAGCACATTTGTTTAAAATGTGTGTTTAAATTTGAATGAATCTGCCTAAATGGTGCCATCTGTTCTTAAGCAGTTTCAAAAATGTTTTAATACAATTTTACCTTTAAAAGGACAATTGTAGGAGTATGCCTGTGAGACATGAAGATGTCCTTAAATAAATATATAGCAGACACCAGCACATTCACTCACATTTAAACAGCTAAAGAATGTTTTCTGAGGTTTAAGAAAAATTTTAGCTAAGAGGACAGCAACTACTACTTCATGCAGAAAATATTTATGAGAAGTTACAAAATGCTAGGCATGGACTCCTACACCATATTACTGCATTTTAATTGCAGGCTCCGGAATTACAAATTAATTTGATGTAAATCTCACTTTCCTTTGAAATGGGTACACTCAATGTTTGCTAATGAGCCACGTCTTACTGAAATGTCAGTCTATCAATTTAGAAGCTGAAGACAGCTGTTGAGGATGGTATATGTTATTGGTTTGTATTGATTGCCCACTTCACTTTCGTTAGGTTCTGTAGGGTTTATTGTTGTGCAAAAAAAGTATAACAGTGAAATGAAACCCATGTTTAAGTTCTGCAAATAACTTACAGTCACTTCCAAAACACCTCAACTTAGGTTCTAAATTTAACTTTGTGGTTTTACATGCATGGTTATTTGCTGATCCACTTTAGCTTGCAAAATCACACACTGGCTAGTTTTGGTATAGTTAGTGGCAAATTTTCAGCCTATTTAACTTGCTAGCTACATCATCATCACCAAAACAACACCGCTATTTTGATATCTCTAATTTGCTAGTTGGTATAAATCAGTGGTGATACATATTAAGAATTTATATTTACAGAATTTTTGGTTGAATTAGCATCCAAGTGTGTTACCCTATCTGCATATATAGGCATCCATATGGAAATTCTTTAGTTACATTCTGTTTTCACAAAAGTGTATCTCTGAACATATTCATTCATGCGAACAATCATTTGGAATACTTTTTGATAATTTTAGATACTAGAATTTGCTTCTAATACATTTTTTTAAAGATTTATTTATTGTGCATACAGAACTGGGGTAAAGAGCAGAGGTGCAGGGGCGGTGAGAGGATTCACCAGAGGCAGAGTGGGAAACAGAACAGGCAGATCAACGAAGTCCTCTGCTGAGGGGAGCAGCAGGCAAGTCAGGAGAGGTCTGCCGCGCCATGTGGGTCACCTCTGGGGCGGACAGGAATCGAACTCATGCTGAAGTGGCTTTAGCTTCTTAGTGCTGTGTTTTAACCCGCTGCACCACCAGGGAGGGCCCTACTTTTTTTTTTTTTTTTAATAAAAGCAATTGGACATTGCAGATAAAGTTGAAGTTCCCTTATTGCCTTTCCCCTTCTATCCCTCACGAAGGCCACCCCATCATGGATGTTTCCAATCCATATTTTTGTATTTTTAATGACCTAAATTATAGCACCCTTGTTTCTTAAATTATCTAAATTCTGTCATAGCATTTATGACATTCTTTCATGTGCTATTTCTCCTCAGCATTGTTTTAGAAATCTGCCTATGTCAATCTATCAAAAAGGTACTTCATTTTAACTTTTTGATAGTAAGAATTATCAGTTTATTCATCTTTTCCATGACATATGTTCATTTTGGTTTTACATCTTGTACCAATTTCTTGCTATCCCAAACAGCGTTGCAGTCATTCTCTCACTCTCTCCTCCCTATCCCCACCCTGGTATGTCTGACCCAGATTTTCTCTACTCTCTAGACCTAGGTGTTCTATTGCTGGCTAACATAGGTTACATGCATCTGCAACTTTACCATATTTTGTCAAACTGCTCTCACATCAATTCTTAATTTCTATTCCTACCAACAGTATATAATAGTTGCCTACCATAGTTTTACTTAAACTTTATTATTTACAATTCTGCCAGTCTGATGGGTGTGAATGAAATATTTTACCATTAGTGCTCTACTTATTTGTCCAAGTTATTTGTGAGTTTGAGAATTTATTTCAAATACATTTTGATTGTTTTAAAATTTTCCTCTTTATGAGTAGTCTATTCACTTTTTTCTGAGTCACTTGTCTTTTTCATATTGCTTTGTGAGGTGTCCTTTAAGTTTACATGTTAACATTTTGTCAGCCATATGATTGCAAATATCTTCTTCCAATTTTATAATTTCATGGTAAATTTTTTTGAAAATTTTATTTATGCACACAGATATGGGTAGAGCCAGAGGTGCAGGGGTGGCAAGAGGATTCACCAGAGACAGAGCAGGGAGCAGAAGAGGCAGATCAACAAAGTACACTGCTGGGGGGAGCAGTGGACAGGTCAGGAGAGGTCTGCCGCGTCATGTGGGTCACCTCCTGGTGGGGGATCGAACTTGCACTGAGGCAGCTATGGCTAGCTTGCAGTGCTGCGTCCTAACCCGTTGCACCACCAGGGAGGGCCCACTTCATGGTAAATTTTACCACAAAAAAAGTTCTCTAATTTCAGATGTTTCATCAACTATTTTAAATCAATTAATTTTTATGTTTTATGTCTTTTCATAAAAGATCTATTAATCTCTTGGGTTCATTACAATATGCTTCCAAAATTTCTTATATTAGCGTTAAAGTTATACTATTTTACACATATGTTTTTAATTCATTCTCTAATTTATATGTGTTTGTAGTATCAGAAAGCAATCCCAATGTATTTCTTGAAGATGGATAGTCCATTATTCCAGCTCCATTTAGTTATCATCCCATCCACTCTCTGCTACAGTGTGATGGTCCCTCTATCCTGTACAGAGTTCCTAAGTGAGCCCAGCAGCATCTGCTGATCTAGTTATCTGACCTTGTCCTGACCCCACGAATGTTCCTATGGCATTATGATAAACCTTGATAGAGAACAGCTTTGTACTGTCTCCACAGAATTGCTATGCTATGCTCTATGTGTTCTTATATCTGATTTTTGGAATCAGCATGTTCTATTTCAAAAACAAAAAGTATGGCATTTTCATTGAGTATATGGAAGAATATCTAGATATTATATAGGTTAATACTAATTTTTCCCATCCTTGAAGTGATATATTACTATCTAGTACACAATTCAGATTTTCTTTTTGTATCCTTTCATGTGGTTTTTGTTTTCCTTAAAAATTTCACGTTTTCTAAGATTAATCCCTTATCTTATCCTCTTTGTTACTGTTGTGAATAACATTATAATTCCTGAATGTTTTGGGGTTACTAGAACTTCATCGATTTTGCATGTTGATCCAGCACCCCTGCTAAACATTGTAGTTGTTAAAAGTTTTTTTTGGTACATGCTCTTGCATTTTATCTGTGAATCGCCACATTTCACCCCCACCCTCCCCCACACATACATACATGTACAAACCCAAACACATTTTCTATACATATATACATATACATTTTAACTTCCCTTTTTTCTATCATTATCCTTTGTCTTTTTCTTGTCAGTTACATTGATTGGGACCCCTTTTAGAGTTGGGAGCTGGTGGATATTGGGCATCCTTATCTGTGGGTTGCATTTACATTGTGTAATGAATTCTCTCAAAGTACTAGTTCTCACTTCATGCATCTACATTAAGCATTTATCATGGCTAACAAAGGCTAATCTAGGATTGTGGTCATGTAATGAAAAAAAGTTGTCACTGGTAAAAGGACTCATGCCTATAATTCATTCAAACCCTTTTCTGACTTTCTGAGTCAATTCACGTCTGTTAAACAGTCTTTCAAGACTGTGTTGAAAGACTCATTTTTAAGGATCTTAGCTACAAGTATTCTTGCTCCATTTGTCAGTGTTGGCTTCATGGAAAATATCATCGGAAGTGAATTTAAATCTGTGTCATTCATTCTTCAAAAATTCTCATTGCTTACATTATTTTTGTTTTGAAATTTATTTTTTACAGACTCCCATGAACCAAGCTTCCACCCGCTCCCACTGCATTTTTACTATTCATTTAACAAGCAAAGAACCAGGATGTGCAACTGTCCGACATGCCAAACTTCATTTGGTTGACCTGGCTGGCTCAGAGCGAGTTGCAAAGACTGGAGTAGGGGGCCAACTGCTGACAGAGGCCAAGTACATCAACTTGTCACTACATTACTTAGAACAGGTAAAGTGAGCAAAGCGGGGTATAACTATACTGCCTTTTGTCTCCCACACACTTTGCATCAGTCATCCCACTGACATTTTTTGTGTTTTGTTGTGTTTCTTTTCTTCTTTTATTGTAGTAAAGTATACAAAACAAACTTTACCATTTTCATTTTTAAGTATAATATTTAATGGTGTTAAGTTCTTCCACAATGTTGTACATCTATGCTATCCTTTCCTAGAACTCTTTCATGATCCAGAGCAGACATTCTGTACCTATTAAGCAATAACTCCCCATTTTCTTACACTCCCAGTTCTTGGCAACCTCTATTCTATTTTCTGTGTTTTTAAATGCAGCTATTCTCTTGTCAGTGGGATCATACACTAATTGTCCTTTTGTGTCTGGCTTGTTTCACCTGGCAAAATGTTTTCAAATTCTCTGTCATAATTTACTTCTCTTTTTAAGTTGAATAATACTCTATCATTTGTTGCTTATCCATTTATCTGTCAATGGATATTCAAGTTGTTTCTGCCTCTTCGCTATTGTCTCTCCGCTGCTGTAAATATCGGTGTAGTTACTAGCATTTTGTATGTACCATTCATATAAACCCTATACTGCAGGTATTACTTATTCTCCCCATCTTAGATATTTTAAAATTTAGGTCTTCCCGAAGTCCTCCCAGGGTTACCAGTTATTGGTTAGATGTGGATTTGAAACTAGAATTGCTCAGCTGCAAGGCCTATGCTTCTTTCACTACAGCTCATTATTTTTATTGAAAAAGCTGTGGTGCGTCTGAATAATGGGTATAAATGGCCTCTTAAAGTCTATTTTTTTTTCAGGTTACAAGATTAACTATGAGTACATGAATTAGAAATGATCAACATCTTTTAAGCTTCAAGTGACCCCCTCTAGTGGCAATTCTGACCATGCAATGGTTCTGTTTTTCTTAGCTTTCCCTCCCTACCCTTACCCCAAGTTTGCTACAGTCCACCCCAGCATGTGCCCTATTTTTAATTTCTGAATTTGACACCAAGGGCAGAGAAAGAGCATCTGAATTTAGCTAAATAAATCTTTAAAACAACTCTCATCTATAAAATAAATGAGTCAAATAAGATGATTTCTCAAGTTCCTTTCATCTCTGTCAGTGCTGTGAGTTGAATGTTAAAATGCCACTACTTTGAGATTCTTTAAAAAAAAAAAAAAAGGCAAGCATGATCAAATATTGGAGTGGAAAAATACAGTGTATATGGGGGAGGCAGAAGAATTTATTAATGAATGTCAGAGGCTAGCAGATTTGAGAAACAATCAAAAAGAAAAATCTTTTTTAAAAGACCAGTGAACTCTTTTGAGACTGATGATGTGTTGATGTTAAATGCCCTTTAACAATAGTTAAAGTCAGCTGACAATGGAGAGATGACTACAGATGCTCCAGCTGAACGAGGTTCATACAGACCTTGGCCAAGTGGACCCCAGTCATGTAGCCCCGAGATTAAGGCCTGCATGGTGTCTTGATCATTTTAGTGTTTTCAATGAGATCCAGCTTGCCTGAGCTCCTCCTTGCTCACGTATTACACATATTATATTAGACTTAACAGAGCTTTTTACTTAATAGGACACTTATACAACATTGATATGAAAACATAATGGACTATACTGAAAGTGCTTCATTTCAAAGAAATAGCCTTCTTATTTCACATGGTAGCACTTTCTGTTTTAAATTCCTTTATGGACATCTGTTCTTACTAAATTATATTCATCAGTTGAATCAGAATTTCCACCAATTGTACTCACTCAAGAGAAATGTTCTGCCCTGAATCCTTTCTTTTTCTTCATTCTTCACAACCTTTGCAAGCTGCTACTTGTCATGAAAACTATTCCCCTCCCCACTATTCTCTCCTTCAAAATTCTTTTAACATGAGCCCCCTGTGAGTAGTCTTGGTGACTGTGATTGATTGTCTGTATAACTAGTTTATTTTGTTCACAGAAGTGTGTTAGGCATGATAACATGCCCAGGATTACACTGGGCAGTAGAGCAAAGTGGTAACAAAGGAGAGACAGTCCTTGCCCCAAAGCTACCATGACCCAGTGTAGGAAGCCATGTAATAAATAATCACTAAGCGCAGAGCTGAGTCCAGGGAAGAACTGCACAGAGGAAGTCTCAGGGGTGAGGAGAACTTGTACCAGGGGCTCAGACTTAGATGAGGAGGTGAGAGTTAGTGAAGGTTCTCTCAAGTCTGATATTAAGCAGAGACATGAAGAATGAGTAGGAGAGAACCAGGCAGAGGTTATAGCAGGTCATGCAGTGGGAACTGGGAGCCTGTCAGCCCTGACCTCCAGTCCAGTGGGATTGATTGACCCAAGGTTACAGTGACAGGACATGACATTGGCCTCTGTTTTTCTGAATGCAATTTTTCTGTTGCATACCCACCCACTGTATCATTCCTGTTGTTAACTATTTACACTGATTCACAAGTTTCTTGATGTAGGTTATGCCAAAAGAAAAAAAAAATGGAAAAGACAAGATTGGTGTGAAAGGAAAGAACATAAATATGAAAAACTGCACAGGTAGATGTGGATATGTAGAACTGAATAAATCTGGGAGTAGCTGCCAGAGGTAGCAGGTGGATAATAAAGGAATTTTCAAATTTCACACAGAAAGAGAAAGAACCAAAGTATAAATGAGAATGTGAATAATTAAAAAAATAAGCAGATACTGTTAATGAAACAATAGAATTTAAGAAATTTTATATGCACATTTTCTTAATATAGTACTTTATTATGTCACCAATAAGAATAGAAATGTGACATAATTTAATTAGCTTCGTTCATTCGCTTGTTAGACATATTATGATTGGGTGTCCACTGGGTGCTCTGTAATGTTAGGTAACAGGGGTAAATATATGATTGAAGAATACTCTGTGTCATCACATTATCCAGTAAAAGAACAAAGCATATGAACAAACCCTTACAATACAGTAAGCTAAGTATTCATATAAGTTTCAGTAATTATTACCTTCTCATTGTCTCAGTTTCAATATATAGCATGAAGGTGAACTAACAAAACAGACAGTTGAGTAACCTTTCTTACAGTAATTGGCCTGCATTGGTTTTAGAAATGCATGCGGAATTGAAACTGCCCTTTGGCTGTAATCGTGAGATCTTATTCCTGCTTGTGGGATACAGTCTTTCTGAGTTGAATACACTTTATTGTGTGCATAAGTTAATAACTTTCTGTTTGCCAGAGTATTGTTGGTTTTGGAGTTTTTCTTGTGTATGCAGTACTTTTTCCAAAAAGTCTCCTCAAGAAAACATTTTAAGCCACAATAACAGGGTACTTCTTGGCTGTAGAATCGAGTGCATGGGGGAAAAGGAAGGGGGCATGCGTGCTTGTTCCAACCTTAAGCCTCACCGACTGACCCTGGTATGACCCATGGTCTCTGTCAACCCAAATATCAAATGTGAAACCACTGAGAACAGAGAGTGTTTGCTCTCCATCTCTACAGAAATCAGTATCGGGGACACTTGCAGACAGTTAACCAACATGAGTGGTATTTTTTTCAGTTTCAGTTTCCACTTGGCTTCCTCCAAATGTGTTATGTTCAAGAGAAAAATTTAGTGGTGTCAGTGACAGTTGTCACCATTCCAAGCCTTTGTCAGTTTTCAGAAAATACTTTTCCATGCATATTTGAGCTCTTCAAAAGAAGATTTCTTTAATTCATTAAATAGTAAACTGAATTATTGATTTCAGACATACTTTCTAGATATTTGGAAATATTATTAAGGGTAATGTGAGGTTTCCTTCTTTGTTGCTTAAAGAATGCCTTCAGGAACATATTGTATTTAAGCAGGAAATCCAAAATGGGAGTAAGCAAGCAATTAAAAAAACAAACAAACAAATAGGTTATTACCCTGTACCTCTCAGATCATTCGGTTCCTGTCCTGTGTAGACAGCCTACAGCATCACCACAAAGAATCACTTATCTCTGCCTCTCTCCCAAACACTGGCCATTTTTGGGTCAGTGGATATTTGAATCTATCCTAAGGAGTCTGAACTTATGAGGATATTCCTAAATTCCTTTGGAGCTGAGTCTTCATTTCTAAAGAAATGGCCTGGGACTGGATTTATAGCTAAAACATGTCTTCAAAAGGATCGCAAGACATAGCTTTGAAGATCTCTGCACAGAATGGAGTACTTTTTTGTTGTACTAAAAGTATCCCAGAAACGATCTCTATGGATCTGTCAAGCATCATTGTGAGATAGGCAAGCATTTTAATCCCACTTTTTACAGGTGAGGAAAATGAGACTGATAATTTTAAGAGATTTACCTAAAATTGCACAAGTACCATAACTGGATTCTTACTCCAAGTCCCGATGTCTTTCTTTTCTGATGTGCTACCTTCATTTTCTGCATTCTTGAAGGCCATATTTTCTGATCAATAATTCCATTTTGAATTTTCTTTCCTTAATAATTTTAGAACACTCCATAGAAAATGAAACAATGATCAAAAGTGCAAAAAAAGGGGTTAACGAGTTCCAGAAGAGTGAAAATAACAGTGCCCAAGGTGTGGACAAGTCGCTGTATGGGTTCTCACCTATGCAGAAAACTAAGAACTAAATAATTGAATAGGATTTCAAATACTGATGAGTACCAGAAGAAAAAAAAGAATAACAGCCTGGAGATCAGTATGTTAGTTTTGACAGGGTGTTCAGGGAAAGCCCTAAAGATAAAATTTGAGCGTAAATTTGAATGAGGGAAAGAAGGAATCTGGGGTAAAGTGTTCCAGGTGAAAGGAACAAGTTCCTTGTTCCTGGGGATAAGCAACATCAAAGCAAGTGGACAAGGAACGTATGATAGGAGATGAAGTCGGATAGGTAGAAGGATTATACTTTGGATATCCAGAAATTGCTAGAAGATTGTAAACAGGGCAATTTATATGCCATAGCTTATATTTTGCAAAGATTCCTCTGATTCTGTTGTAGAGAGTCGATCCTGGGCGAGCAAAAGTAGAAGCATAGAGACTGATTCAAAACCTTGTATAGTTAAGCAAAGAAGGAACAATGAAGGCTTGTTCTGAGTGGTGATCAAAGGAGGCAAGGGTGAGGTAGTCCAATTATGGGTGTTTTTTATAAGTAAATCTAACAGAAATTGCAAATGTATTGGATTCTGGAGGTGAGGAGAAATTATAGATGTTGCCTAGCTATTTGGTTTTGAGCCACAAAAATATTGCTGGTGGGGTTAATCACCATGGATAACACCTGGGAAACAACTAGTTTGGGGATAGAGGATAAAAAATCAAGAAGAGACTTCTAAGTGGAAAGGCAGACTTGCCACAGAGGTAGCAGTGCAAGGAAAAAGTTGAGGCTGATGATATACATGGAGAGACTGTAGAACATTGGTGTATTTAATGCCAGGAGATTGGATGAAATTACACAGATAGAATATAGGCAAGAAAGAGAAGAGAATCAAGGACAGGCCTGGGGCACACCGCTATTTATAATCTGGAAGAAGAGTAGGAAATAGTCGTTGACTGGTACTTGGGGAAAGATGAAAACTAGAAAAGTGTGGCATTCTGATTTCATCAAGTGAGTAAAGTGTTTCCTGAAGGAAAGAATGAGTACCTGTGTCTAATGCTTAGGAGATTCACAAGTCAGTGCTTTTAGCACAATGCAGGTTGTTGATGATCTTGATGAGAGTCATCTAAGTTTAGTAGTTAATGGACATGCAGGGTGGGAATGATCCAAAAAAGAGAGAGATTGATTCAGAAAAGAGATGGCTTAATTGTAAAAGCAAAGTTGATGAAAGGAGAAGAGGGATGGAGGGTTGACTTAGACAGGAACAGGACAGTGACAAAGGGAAGGGCAGAGGGGAGAGGGGATTTAGTGATGGGGTGTGGCATAATAGATAGATATAGATATTTAGAGTAAAACAGTGATTTTGAGAGCTATCATGGATTTCTAGTTTGTAGGAAAATCTGTGGTCATGAATTTAAAGCAAGATCAGGGATACAGTTGCTTGCTTTTGCCACAATTGGTCTCCAGAAACAATGTTCCATCTTGTTTTGATAACCAATGTAGTAGAAGAAGGTTTGATGATGGGAATTAGTTGGTTGGAGGAAAAACTTAAACAGTGTTGGCAAAAGTCTGAATTTTCAGGAGCCAGAGCCATGTGCCCCCAGAGTCACATGTGTGAATGATTTTTTCCTGGTAGCTACATGATAGCCTTACATCCATTAGCCATCCATCTAGCTAATATGTCCCTAGTAATTACTTAACACTCATGATGAGTAGTACAAACAACACTAATCAGACAAGGTAACCTCCCACCTCACATACAATGATAGCAGTGTATGTAAGACTAACTACTTCAAGTAAAGTGCACATGTTTTTTTTATTTTTTAAACACTATTTTTATTTTTTTAAGATTTATTTATGTATGCATACAGAACTAGAGTACAGGCCAGCTGTGCGGGGGCAGTGAGAGGATTCACCAGAGACAGAGTGGGGAGCAGAACAGGAGGATGGATGAAGTACACTGCTGAGGGGAGCAGCGAGTGGGTCAGGAGAGGTCTGCCAGCCATGTCACCTCCAGGGCTGCCAGCCATGTCACCTCCAGGGCAGGGATCAAACTTGCACTGAAGGGACTGTGGCCAGCTTGTAGTGCTGTGTCCTTACCCATTGCACCATCAGGGAGGGCCCGTAATAGGCACATTTTAACTCTTCTAATCTTCCCAACTTCCTGAGGTTCCCATTAGTACCCTGTACTGCCTCTCACATTTCTTATGTATTGCTCTTTCTCTTCTACCTATAAAATGGGCCATATGAAAAATTTTGGTAGGATTTTGAAAAACTAGCATGTTGTACTCTTGAAATTTTAGATGAATTTCCCAATGGCTGAAAACAGAATGATAGTGTATCCAATTCAGTACAAGTTATGTCTTCTGTCCAAAACTTACAGGGTTCACAATGGTATGTTTTCTGCTGCAGTCACCTCGTTCCATCTTCATCATCTGTGCACCAAATACCGTTAACATATTTATTCTAAGCAAGTTTTGGCTGCTGTCACCATGTGTTTAGTTATCATTTCCTTCTATCATAGTTGTAGTTGTTTATCAGATGTGCATTTTCTTCTAAATCAATGCCATTATTTTTCTATTTTACCTTAGGTGATCATTGCCCTGTCAGAAAAACACCGTTTGCACATCCCCTACAGGAACTCCATGATGACGAGTGTCCTGAGAGACAGTCTGGGGGGGAACTGCATGACCACCATGATTGCAACGCTCTCTTTAGAGAAAAGGAATATTGATGTATGTTGCTTCTTCTTCCTGTGAATCAGTTTTATCACTCGTTTGTGAGGTAGAGTTGAGGGTTCTGGGTGGGTTTCCATCTTTTCAGTGGGGCTTCAGTGAATCTATAGAGGTCAGTACCCCCAGAGTTCAGTTTTGGTTTATTTGTATGCATGATATTCACCCTCTTGAGAATTGACTTTCTCCTGGCATAGGGTTGTTTAAAGAATGGCTGATGACACCTGCTTGCCTTTGTTCCCCATTACTAGGATTTTCCCTGGAGACATCTTAAAGATGTGTCCCTAGACATGTCCCTGCATTGACAGGAGCTTGTTACCTAATGGCTTTCCCAGGTTGCATTAGAGTTGGTTGATGTTTCATAAATGTTAATTAAATGTTTAGGTTCTAGACTTTCTCTAGAAGAGAGGAGGGGAAAGTAACAGGTTTTTTCACAAAAAGGTCAAGCCCCAACTGCATGGGAGGATGCCTTTTTTTGGCCTGTTACAAATATTTATTTTGTAGATTTTCAGGTTTCTGGATTATGATACCTGCTATGATTGTGATCGCTGTAATTGTAATTCTCACTTAACAAATCAGTAGTTGAAAAATGCATGCCAGTTGCCACTTAAGATCTTTAGATAGCTCACATTTTTGACAATTGGTCATTTTACTGAGTCAAAGAATAATTTTTTAATATATATATATATGAGATTTATCCATACAGAACTGGGGTACAGGCCAGAGATGCAGAGGGTGAGAGGCTTCACCAGAGACAGAGCGGGGAGCAGAACAGGCAGATCGACAAAGTACACTGCTGAGGGAAGCAGCAGCCGGGTCAGGAGAGGTCTGCCGCGCCATGTAGTCACCCCGGGGCAGGCGGGGATCGAACTCACGCGGAAGTGGCTTTAGATTCTCAGTGCTGTGCTTTAACCCGCTGTGCCACCAGGGAGGGCCCAAAGAATAATTTTTTATAAAATATAATGTTCTAGAGCAAAAAAAACTCTCACTTGGGGGAATATTTCCCCAATTGCATTTCATATTTATTACTCTTTAAGTGGTATCCTTTTGTAAAAAATAAAATTTTACCTTGATCTTTCTCTGTCACAATGTTTAAAGGAGCTATTTTGCCTTCCTAGGAATCAATATCTACCTGCAGATTTGCACAACGAGTGGCCCTCATAAAAAATGAGGCTGTTCTTAATGAAGAAATTGACCCCAGATTGGTAAGCAACTCAACTGACTGTGTTTAGAAGAATCACTTCATATTAAGGATTAACTAAAATTGGTGGGTACATACTCTGAATCAGACAATGTTCTAAGTACTGAAAAATTAATGAATGTATTGTGTTCTCACAATACCTTTACAAGTAGATGCCTTCTCTATCCCCCTTTTATAAACGGTAAAATTGAAGCACAGAAAGTTTAAATAACACACTCAGAGTCACAGTTCTGCAAGGAATAGAGGCAGGATCCAACTATAGACAGTTTGATCTATAACCCCCCCATTGCCCCTCAATTGTGCGGTGAGCCCCAAGAATGCACATGACAGAATCCTACACAGGTATTTTTAGATGCAGTTTGCAGCTCTTCAAGAAACACACTTTACATTTGTAAATAAAATAATAATAATAATAGTAGTAGTAGTAGTAATAATAGATCATCTTATATAAAAGTTTCTTGAGACAAAGAAGTTCTGATTATTATCAAAAAGAACCATATTTTGCATAAGTGTCCTGTTGTTTATTCTAGAGATATTTAACAGCCAATAATTGGTTTGGTCTGTGAAAAAAAAGTCTAAGATTATGGTTTTATAGCAATGAATTCTGCGCTATTAAAGTAAGCAAAAACATTTACAGTTTACATAATTCCACTTCTCATTATTGAATCAGATGTTTTTATCTTCTCTCTATTTTGTTAATCTTCTATAAATAAAATGCAACATGGGGTTAATTTATATCAACATTGAAACTGTTGAAGTAAAATCTTTGTTTTGCAACCACCAAAATTAAGATTATATTTTCAAATCACTCAGCTTTAAAAAAAGTTTTTTTAGAAAATAAGTTAATATTATGTATTGTAAAAACGATGTGAAAATTTTTGAAATGTTTGCTATTTACAAATTTCTCAAAATCAAAAAAAAATCTGCAATTTACTATTATTTCCTCTTGATTGTCTTTCTGTCCCTGAAATCATCCTCTTAAAAGGTAAAGACAAAGAAGAAATAAAAAGAACAATGGAGCTATCTTGTGTTCTCTTGCTTGCCTTAAGAAGCTTGAGACACCCGATAGAATTCTCGAGAGAAACCAATGCTGGGTAGGATCTATTTCCAGTAGAGACCCTGGTTAGATATCAGCATCGCACGGTGCTACAGCTGGATAAAGGAGCCAGAATTCAAAGTCTTGAACAAACTAGAATTGAACAACTAGTTTGAATTCTCCTAAGCCTATCTTGCCAGCAACCCTGCAGTTTGTGCAAAATGAGAAAGACAGCAAAGGAGTTATTAGTCTGGAGACAGAAAATAGCTCATAAATGAAGGAAAATGCACATTGGGAGTTTAAAAAAAAACTTAAGAGACTTTTCTTTGAAGAACTTGAAGAATTTGAAGAAAGGTGAACATTTTTGTGTGTTTGATGTAAGTCTTTGAGAGATTTAAAGAAAAGAGAAATCAAAAGTCAAAAGCTAATAGCTGATAATTGAACAAATTTGTTAAGGTCTTCCTGGTGCAGAATAACCTAGTGATTGGCAAGTACTGTTTCCTTGTCCCTTTAATAT